TTAATGGTATATTAAGATGTCTAAAGTCAAATAAATTAGTTAATTAACTGGTATCATTATGTGTTGGGTTAAATGGCTGCCTTCTAATCTCTGAAATTGATACAAGATCTCAGGCAGCACAGATGCACCAGTAGAGAATGCAGCAGATACAAAAAACGGCAGAACAGATGTGGAAGAACAGATCAGATTCAAGGAAATAAACCAGCAAGAATTAAACACTGAGAATGGATTTTAACCAGGAAGAAAACATCTTCCTCAGCCTTTATTAATCCAAGACTAACATGATTTATAAACTTGAAATCACCATAAAGAATTTTTCCCAGATTTCAGCAAGAGTTTTGAGTTTTCAGCAACAGAAAATTCGAAGAGATCTAAGAATCAGGGGTTTCATTCAATAGCCATAACTGAATAAAAAATGAATTACTAAATCAAGATTTACTTACATAAAATGCAACGACACATCGACAACACCAGCAGTGCAAATGTGTAATCCGCAGGTAGTTTAATAGAAGCATTGAAAAACCCATGAAGGTAAAGGTCTTGCTAAACAAATCCAAAACCTGCACAAATTAAAAATTCATTAACAATAACAAAACCCACAAAAATCAAATCCAAGAAACAAATATAAAAAAAATATAAAAATGACCTGTTCTTTCATTAAAGAGATGTGAATGGATTTTCCATCTTTGATGACCATAAAATTATCATTTCCAAAAAGGTGTGAGTGCCCTTCATCAAATGACTGCAGCGTTCCTTCTGGTTCTGGTCGTCTCCAAGGATTAGGTTTCGTGCCTGAGTAATGAACCTATAAACAATAAATCCATCCATGATCCGGTGGACCAATAAGGAAGGCACATTTACTGAAAAGGCCCAAACTACGACAAGGAAAGAAAATAAAAATTCAGGCCCAACCAACCCATTCTTGGCAGATGCAGCCCACAGCCGTGTCTTCTTCTCCATTTCTTCTCGGTGGGTGGCGGACGGCGACCTGAAGGCTGAAGCTCCTGGTGGATCCAGCACGGGCGGCTGCAGGGGCTGGCCAGGTGCTGGATCCGCCCTGAATTGGCCTGCAAAATTTACACACTACTACAAATGCCGAGGGAGAAATATAGTGTTTCAGATTCACATACAAGAAATCTGATTCAAGAAAGAGCTAATAAATCGGCTTTGTATACAAGATATTTGATTGACAGTCACCATCTGAGAATAGTTATACTTGTCTAAAGTTTCCTAATCACACAAATTTAAAAGCCAATTCCTATACCCCCACCCGAATTCATGCTTGCACAGGCAATTTGTTCTTTTTTCTTTTCCTTATTTTAAGTAAAGACTGCACCTAAGGGCGGGAGTTTCTTTTTTCCACCTTCAGAATCTGGATAAATGAGTGTCTAAGAAGCAAAGAGAGTATTAAATTGATATACAAGGAAGTTGGATAAAAAACAATCAAGAAACAAGAGCCAAGCATATGAAGAAACATCACAAAATATGTTAGCATTTTTCAGAGATGCAGTAGTACCAAATATGGCAGACATGTTTAGGAGTATTGCCGAGTTCCAGATACTACCTGCCCATGCAGTTTTGGGGCCTTGTTTCTGAAAAATTTGTGTGCCAATTTAATACTGAAACTGCCGGATATACCCCAGCTGTCTAGCCGTAACTGCCCAGTCAGAATTTCCGTTTGTGTGCTCTGCACATGAGGCTGTTCAGGTGCATTCAGAGGCTGCCTTGAGTGAATTTCCGTCTGCCCAATTCCATGAGGCTCAGCCTGGTAACAAATACTGATCCCCGTATTAATCTGTTGGTGCTGCATGTTCTGTGCATCAGTTCTGCTTTTAGTAGTGTTGTTTCTGGAGGGAGTTCCAAAAATCTACCGTTGCATGCCTCCGTGCACGAGAACGGAGGCACGTCGTGCCTCCGTCCGCGTGCACGGAGACCCATGGTGTGCCTTCGTGCACGCGGACGGAGGCACGTCGTGATTCCATCCGCGTGCATGGAGGCACGATGCGCAGTGTGCCTCCGTGCACGCGAACGGA